CAGATCCAAAGCACGCTATGCAAACAAAATGTAACTACTTACAAGAGCATTTACTGGCATTGAAAGTAGGCCTGGAATGCAGAAGTCTGTTTGGTAAAGCTTGTCATGGTTTTTACAGCATGGAGAAGTCATTGGATGCAGATATTTCAACCCTGCTGAGCCCCAAAAGGGGCTGAAATGGACAGTGGAGTAGTGATGAGAGATGCATCTTTTGACAAAGCAATGCCGTGACATTTGGCAAAGACCGTATCCACCAGACGGTGGAGAGAAGTGGGGGACAGATGATGATATGAGAGACTAAGTGTGGAATTAAGCAGTCAAGCTTGCAACTGTGGCCAAAATGTATGGGCAACTCTGCAGAGTGGCTGCTTTGTCGTAGTTGCTTTCTCATTCCTGAAACACTAAAGTACGTGACACTCACAGACTACAGGAGGAATGGATTATTTTGGCTTATCATTTGTAGAGGATTCAGTCCATAGCCAACTGGCTCCAAGGAAGATAAGAGACAGAGAGAGGGATCAAGGAAGAAGGGAGAGAGATACTTCTTTCCAGGCCATGCCCCCAGTGACCCAATCTCCTTCAATAAGGCTTCCCTTCTCAAATCACATTCAGATATGCACTCATCAACAGACGAATCCACTGGTGGCTGTCCGATGGCCATGAACCAATCACCTCTTCAAGGCCTCACCTATGAGCATGCACATGAGGCTTTGAGGGGACATCTAGATATAAACCATAATATCCTCAACCTGGGGTGTGTTTGTGTGTGTGTGCCTGTGTGTGTGGTAGTAGGGATTGAATCCCGGGCTTTTGCACTGAGCTATACACCTAGTCATTTTTATTCCTTTTTCTAAACCAGAGTCTGGCTAAGTCACGAAGGTGCTCAGAGTGGGTTTAAAATTGTGTCATCCATCCTCAGCCTCCTGGAGTGTTGAGACCACACGTGCAATCCACCATACCCAGCATGGATCCTTGATCTTACAGCAATACAAAACAATGAAGCCACTGCTTATGCAGAAATTGTTTGAGTCTCTTTTAGGACTAAGTCCTAATTCTTACCTTTGAGATACTGCTTACCTTCACATGTAGAGTCAACAGTAAACAATTCACAGGTGCCGGGAGCCTTATGGAGCCACATTTGTCTCAATCCCTAAAGAGGAATAAACTATACTGAGCCTACTAAATTAGTTTTTGATTTGGAGGGACATTGTGCTGCCTGACAATTTCTAAATCAAATACAATTTATCACTCTATAAAACTGAGTATCAATTTTCATGGCATAGTCATAAAGATTACATTATAGAAAACAGGACTGAAAAGTATTTACTCATTGATGTTCCATGAACCATCTTATTTTAGTCTTTAATAAATTCCTCATGATACTTGCTATTAGGTAATAAATATGTTCCTTTTAAAAATTAAATTATATATATTAATTTGGAAAGAGTAATTTAAGTAATGAAGTTCTAGATAGTACAGGTAGATGGAATTTTTCATTTTTTCCTTATAAACTTTATTATACAATCTGCATTTGTGCATATGTTTAGGCTCAATCTCACCACTATTTTTTACATTTTTCCCAAAAGTTATTTAAAATGTCCTTAAGATAATATGCTAGCTTGCAGAAGAAAAACATTTTTAAATGAATAAAATAGTAAGGGAAAAAGAAATGGTACCATATGTCAGGCCAATACAAAAATCTACCTCAAATCCAGACACCTTAACAAAATCTATTGAAAATAATTCCTAATTGCACACTTAAACACTCTTTTATGCAAAAACCAGACCACATAATCCTTTTTTTTTTCTATCAGATAGCAGATGAGAGAAAAAATAAATAATAGTAAAGAAACTCAGGCTGAAAAATTGATTATTTAAACCACAAAACCATGACTTCATCCCTAGTATAGTTCATGCTTTCAAATAAAGTGGATTCGGATTTCTGATGTCCCCAGATGTGATGTTGGTAGAGATAAACAAATAGAGATAAACAAATATAGTAGATTCACTTCCTTTGTATGAAACATTAGGATTCTGAAGGGTATATGTGGCTTTAAAAAAATCACATTTTATTGCTCCTGAAAAACTAAACAAACTAGAAGCAAGTTGGGGAGCCACAAAAATTAGAGTTTTGTTTATTTGTTTGTTTTGCCTTTTTTTTTCTTTTTGCTTTTTGTTTGTTGTTCCCTTTTGAGACAGGGTCTCACTATGTAGCTCAAACTGGCCTTGAACTCACGATGTAGTCCAGGCTATCCCTGAAGTCAAGGCAATCCTCCTGCCTCAGACTCCCAAGGGCTGGGATTATAGGCACGCGCCCCCATGCCCAGCTGGGCTCACAGTTTTAAACTCATAGATTGCAACTTAGCTCTAGCTTAGAGATAAACAATATAGTAGATTTACTTCCTCTGTAGGAAGCCATGAAGGAAATATTAGGATTCTGAAGGGTATATGTGGCTTTAATAATCACACTTTATTGCTCCTGAAAAATTAAAGATGCATATATGTTTGCTTCTGTATAGTGTAGAATTAAGACTTCCTCCCTGGGTGGATATGTTAAATTTAAAATTAAAAATGCTTTATGAACTAAAGAATCTTTAACACGACTAGTCTCACAGTTGTCATGGACAGTGTGGCTAGACTCAGGAGAGCAATCAGATGCAATAGGGAGCCCAAGCCACTCAGTCAACTATTTTTTCTCTGTGAACACATGAATATTGGACTGGTTCTTGTCAGCTCCCAAAGAGGTAGCATATAGCTCCCTTTCCTGCTGTTTTACCCAAATGCCAGTGATTGGTCTGTTTGTTCTGGAAGTTGCCTCCCTCTTAGAGCTCTAATTTCATATCCCACCAGGCTGTTCCCAAAGTGTAACATGCACTCGCCTGCCTCAGTGTCAAATGGGTGGTAACTGCCTCATCAGGTGAAGTACTTACAGAGAAAATGCATTCTTTCCTTCCCTTCTCCCAGTGGATTAACGAATCTGGAGTTCCTCTGCAGTTGAGATGCTGAATTTCTATCTTGCACGTTCTTGTCAGGAAAGGAAACCTTGAATTCTGTTTTCTAATCCTCCTGAAATGCCCATGAGGAGAAATGATATTTATAGAGGATTGTCTGAAGGACATGAAGTCCATAAATTCCCCTGGCTGGTTTACATTTTACCCTTGGATCAAAACAGACTGAGGGAGAGCAATACATCTAGCTGTCTTGATTGAGGCCCTCTGTGGAACTGTTTCCTGCTAAATTGATTTTTGCTACCTTCTGCTTTTAATTTAATTAATGATAATTGTAAGAAATAGAAGCATAAACTGATTTGTGTGTGTGCGTGAGACAGAACAAGCAAGGAAGAATAAGGAGAGAGGGAGTGTCACTCTAATGCATATTCTTGAGTTCTGCCCTCTGTGGCTCTGTGTTTGGGAGGCGCATGCCTCTGCACTCTACCTAGCTTCCTTTCTGAGTGACTCCAACGCAACTGGTTGGTAAAATGCTGTATGGAGAAGATAGCCTTGGAGAAGCAGAGAAAGCTCTGGCTATGGAACTCTGGGGAAGTTACGTATACATGAGTACTGGATTCTGAGCACAACTCCAGGAGACTCGGAAGGACTTTCACAAAGAGCAAACTGAAACTTAAGCTACCCCCACGCACTATCCATACTCTCATTTAAGAGGCTAACTAGAGATGATTTAGGATTGCCATTGCTTTTATCATGAAGCCCTTTTTTTCATTTTAAAAATAAAGGGAGGAAAAACATTAACAGACAGACAACATTTTACAACATAGCAAAAGAACAGTACAGACAATACAGAGTTACAAAGTGGTAGGGAATTAACAATGGTTGTTGTATTAATACTGATATCTTCAAAGTGGCTTCTCATGAAAACAGATATAGAAATGCAATACTGATCAACCAAAGACTCATTGACAGTTTCTTTCAGCATAGAAATAGAAGACAGAAGAACAACCATGTTAACTATCCTGTATATACATACATATAAAATTTCTCCTTCTTTCCCTTCTCTTTTCCCACATCCCAGAAGCCCTTTACTCTTGAGCGGTTTCCTATCATTTCGCAGTATCTATCATACCTCCGAGTTTAAATTAACTCTTTCAAGTTTTACACTGGTGAAACAATGCGGTGCTTGCACATGTATGTTTGATTTATTTCACTTAGGAGTATGGTCTCTAGTTGTGACCATTTGCCTATAAAAGCCTCGAGTTTATCTTTCTTTACAGCTGAGTAATATTCCATTATATAAAAGTACCACAATTTTCTTATCCAATCCTCGGTGGATGGACATTGCAGTTGCTTATGAAGCCCTTTTTGATAACTATGAAGAAAACCGAATTTCCACTAGAGTCACTGTTTCAAAGAAATGCCAGCTCTATCTTCTACAATTTAAAAGAGAGAACTACCAGCATTTTGATTTATTCAACAAACTCTTTGTTTTAAACTCTCTAGAACACTGGAAGAAAACTGAACTATCAGGTAGAACCAGACAGATATCCCTGAGTCAAACCAGGGAGATGTGTGACTGCAGAAGGGGAGCACCCATGGCAAGTGGACGCCTCAGACCTGAGCTCAGCAGAGTCGCTGCTCAGAAGTAGGGACCCGGGCCCGACAAGTGCTGTTTTTTCAGAGAAGCTAATGAATGCAGCTTTTCTGTGTAGAAGTTAAGAAATGAAGTGTATGATGCCCAGTAAGATAGCAGTGCAGGTAACATGCAGTGCATAGGCTGCTGAAGGGTGAAGAGGAGGTAAAAGTGACTGCTCCCGTGTGCGGTGTATGGCCACTGCGACTGTGAAGGAGAGACGAGTGATGAGCGATGGTGAGAGGTACGTGCTGAGTCAGTGAGAGGCTATGGCAGACGCTGAGTGCTGACTGGGGACGAGGGGTGAACAGTGAGTGAGAGGTTAGTGTTGACATGTGAGCTGTGAGGCAGTGGTGAGTGGTGATAAGTGACGGGGGAGCAGTGAGTGACGGGTGCCGGGTGCCGGGTGCCGGGTGATGGGTGCTGGGTGCCGGGTGCTGGGTGAAGGGTGCCGTGTGATGGGTGCCGTGTGCCGGGTGACGGGTGACGGGTGCCGGGTGCCGGGTGAAGGGTGCCGGGTGACGGCTGGTGAGCAAAGCATGCTGTGTGTGCTGATTACGTCTTGTGCGCTGACTGGTAACTAAAGGATGATTAGTGATGGCTGATGCTGAGTGATGGATGGTGCCTAGGTAGTGGGTGATCTGCGAGAGACAGGTGATGGATGTAAGGCTACAAGTGATGGACAGTAAGCGACTGTGAGTGGCAGTGGTGTGTGAGGGGCGAGTCACAAGTGGGGTTGGGGTGTGCAGAGGAAGGGACAAAAGTCAGGGAAGAAGAAAGAGAAAGTACACTTTCCAATTAATCTTCTGCTAGTATCTCTCTCCACATTTGAATGTGTCTCTACTTACATTTCTACTCTACATCTATTTCTGCTCTACATTTCTACATCTCTACTTGACATTTTAATGCATCTTCATGTTTTTAAAGTGACCACACACACACACATACACACACTGGATTTATTAACATACATTAATTGAAAAACCCTAATGAAAAACAAAATAATAATTAGAAAGCACATTTCCGGTCCATAAACTGCATTTTACATATACCACCACGGCATATACACGGATCTCAGGCTTTGCGTGGCCCCACTGTAATCTTCCAAACGTGTCCCCCCATTTCCTGGTGGTGGCACCGTCATTTAAACCATGCCCACTAAATATACCCTCTGCATCTGCACGTTCAAGTACTTGAACTGAATTTTTGCCACTTCTTACTTTTAAACTCTGCACGAAGCACATGCTGCTCTTCGTATGTGTAGTGTGTGCTGCTGTCGGTGTGAGGCACAGATGTCAACGACCACCACAGGGCTACAGGTGAGAGCCCACAAGCCCCACGAAACCTTCTGGTTCCTCTCCAAGTATAGTCCTCCGCTCCACCCTACATGTAGCCGCAGTTGTGACACTTCTGACTATCATTGTCTCTTAAATTACAGTTTTAGCTGGGTGTAGTGGTGCATGCCTGTAATCCCAGCACTCAGGAGGCTGAGGCAGGAGGATCATCGTGAGTTCGAGGCCAGCCTGGGCTACAAAGTGAGCTCAAGGACAGCCTGAACTGAATAGTGAGACCCTGTCTCAAAAGACATAAAACAAAAAAACAAAAAAATTACAGTTTTATCTCTTATGTATCACTAACCTACTCTATAGGCTACTTTTGCTTGTTTCTGGATTTTGTATAAAAGCATACACATATAATGTACTGTTCCTTCTATATTATTTTTTCTGAGATTCACCATGTCTTTGCATGTGCCATGTTCCATTAACAGTGAAAGTTCAGATATACATTTTACACGTATCACCACAGCATATACACAGATGATATACATGCTAGTGTAGATGAATCATTTCCACTTGGGGTTTTCATGAACAATATGTTTTGTATCCTCTAGTACCTCTCGTTCCTAAATTCATGAATGGAATTACTTGGTCATAAACTATACATAACTTTGCATTTATTGGATAATGCCATTTTTCAAGGTATCTAATGATTTATTTTATGCCAGTACAAGATGAGAGTCTCTATTGATTCACATATTCACAGATAATTGACTTGATGAGAGCTTCTCATTTTTGCTGCCATGACACTGTTAATGTTTTCCTACCTCTAGAATTTAATTACCCTTTCCCATCCTCCTCAGACTTATTTTCTTTTACATCTGTTTCCATGTTCTTTAAGAATCCCTCTCAACTCATCAACCTTTTTTCCTTTAACTCTTATGGCATTTACACTGTGTGACAATTAGTTCTGTGCAACTTTCAGATGTGTATATCCATCTCTCCAATCAACTTATCAATTATGGGAAGGCAGATATGACATTTTTGCCATAGAACAAGTAAATTTTAAAAGATGTTTCTATATTGAAGAAAAATTCATGAATAGTATTTTAAAATGCATAATTGGTGCTGCAGTGTACATATGCATTTGTGTGTGCACATGTACGTGATATGCATAGTTTTGGATCAATTAATTTTAAGAAGAGAAATATAACTGTTTAATACCTGAGAAGGACTGATGGGTAAGAAAACAGCTTCTAAATTGACCTTCCTTTTAAATGTACTTTATTTGCTAAAACTGATTTCAAATGAAAAAAAAAATCAATTTTAATCACATTTATTTAAAAGTGTCTTGAAAATTTTTTAAAGTGAAGAGAAATATTAACCGTGTAACCTTTCACATGGCAGAGCAGTACAGGCAAGTGGTTTGGGGCATGAATCCTCCAGTCAGAAAGACCCTAGTTCTTACTCAGACAGCTGACATCTATGCCTCCTTGTGTGAATTTCTTGGCCTTTAGGAGATTAGTTTTGACCTTGAAAAATGGAGAGTTTGATAAAGAACATGTGTGCAATTCATAAGAACTTCTTAGGCAGATCAGCCGTTTGATGATGAATGCTTAACCCTACATAGAGTAAGGCATGTACTTGAGACACACAAGCAAGTGACTGATGACCACAGCAGACACGGCTGGATCTGAAAGGCTCTGCACCTGCATCCCAAGTTCTCACCACCGGATCGTCATGATATATACTTATTCTGAAACCACTTAATATTTGATTGTTTCTCCTTCACATCTCCATCTAACAAACCCAAACATACGATAGTGCAGCCACCATTCATCACCTTTCGTGCATTGCTTACTATGTGATTGAAGGTAAGTTTCACCAGAAAGAGAGGAAAGGACAATAATGACAATGATTGGTGGTTTTGATGCTGATAATAATAACCAGGGTAACTAAAAACTTTGTCCTTTGGTTGAGATCCGAACTCAGTGACAGAATATTTCTAAAGCTCATCTGCAGTTCATACATCAGGACTGAAGGCTGTGACAAGCCTTTGTAAGACTACGTCTTAGGCAGACCTAGCACTAGGGACGCAACCCTGTGCCTGAACTCAGGCATAAACCTTTGCATCTGTGCCACAGGACCACCGCCTTTGACTCCTTTCTATTGGCAACATAACTTCAAAGATACTTTCATTTGAATTCAGAGATTGTGAGCTCTCCTTTTGTCCCTAGCAAGGCAGAAGTCCTCAGAGAGGTTTGGAGATACATGTGAACGTCTCCCCCAGCACGGACATTCTAACTGGTCACATTTTGCTGGTAACTCTCCTTAAGACACATGCTATAACTGAATGAATATTATTCCAAGGGCAATTTGGGAGCAGACTTAAAGGAATTCACATCAACAATATATGTATCTACCACTTATAATGAAAAACAATTTCCAAATCAGCTTTACCATATGAAGTCTAAAAGCAACTTGAACCAGAATCAAAGTACACTAAAAACAGCAGATGATCCAAGAATTTCTATTAAGAAAACCACAAATTAGATTTGCAATTTGCTTGAGAATTTAAAATAGGAAAAAAGAGAAAATGTAAAAGTGTTACACTAAAATAAGTTTTATAAAACTTTCTCCCTTTTTAACCAGAAGCAAAACCAATCCCAGTAAAGAAGTTTGTAGTTTGAGCAGATATGAGGCAGCTTGTCTTCCAGCTGCACTAACACACCAGGCACACTCTTTACCAGTCTGATTTATTTACAGTGCTTTAGAGCACACAGCAGGCATTTGAGAGGTAAAATCCCCTCCCCAAGTCACACCTTGGCTCAACCTGCATTACCTACTTGGGAACTGGATAGTAAACCCAATTCCATTTTTGCATAGTTATATAATGACTCTGGAATGACACATTAGTGTTGTCACCTGGCTGTAGTAAGCTTGCTGTACTTGAAAAGAAGTGGAGCGAAAGGGTAACCTGGCAGTCGGTGCTCCGCCAAGCTGAAAATAGCATTTAACAGGTCCTAATCTATTTCATGGATTATTGTCCCCAAGGGTGCTACTGTAGTGTCTGGATTTTTAAAAAATTAGAAGAAAGGGTCATTTTCTCTTAGTATTCATAAGCTAGTGGTGTTATTGTGGCTTTTGTAATCAAATGAGTTTCTCCAGCAAGCACAACATTTCAGCGTACCACCCATGTAAATATTTGCATACTTAAAAATAAAAAGGAAGCAAAACACCGGACAGGACATTATTTCAATCAAAGGTAGCTGGTTAACCTCAGACCCGAAGCTGATTTTCAGAAAAAGACATGGATGTTGTCTAAAGATATGCTCAGTCTTCAAGATTGGGAAGTTTATTTTCTAGGAGAATAAAATAACACTTGCATTTACTCCTATTTGTATTCTTCTAACTTTCTGCTGAATAGCTAAAATTGGGTCCTGAGTAAGAAACCATGGAAACAGACTATTCTTGCCTATCACAGGCCAAATTCTATCCTAGGCAGGAAAACGTCACCCTTACCCTGTGCCTAAGACAATGCCTGCATTCTAGGTTGTCTTAGTTACTTTTCTCTCGTTGCTGAGACAAAATACCCAACACCCAAAATGAAGGAAGGAAAGGTTTATTTAGCTCACAGTTTGTGGAGGTTTCAGTCCTTACTTGGCTGGATCTGGGGCAGAGTGGCACATGGTAGAGGGCAAATGTTCATGGCGGCAGAACATAGCAAAGCAACAAGACTAAAGGGGGCAATGGCAGCCGAACAGCAAACAGCCAGAGCAAAAGGGAGGAATGGCAGCAAGCAGCCTCTTTCCCTCCCTTACACTGTAAGCAAGCTGCCCCCACCTAAGGGGCCTGTAGCTCTCACATAACCTCCATGCCCTCCTCTTCCACAGGCTCAGGATGTATACAAAGTAAGCACCCTGGCTTCCTGCTGAATCACTTAGCCAAACCTCTAGACTCCCCAAGCTGACACAATGTATCAACCATAACATAGGTCCTACAGTTATCCTTGTTTTGCAGACCAAGGGCAGGACCACACCTACTTTATAGTACTGTACTCTCGGCGCTGAGTACTTAGTAAGCACATGGTCAATCAAGGTAAGAATTAGTTAATTAATAAGAAGAAAAGGTCAAGACAGGCCACTGAGAAGACTGTGATCACAACACAGACAGCAGTAACAAAAGTGAATTTGAGCCCTTTGAATCTTCTTTTAGCTCTTTCTTTATAGTTTACATAAGAACAGACCAATT